CACCTTGCGGCGCTGGCACACCGGGTTCTAGTCCCGGTCGGGGCGCCGGATTCTGTCCCGGTTGCCCCTCTTCCAGGCCAGCTCTCTGCTATGGCCAGGGAGTGCAGTGGAGGATGGCCCAGGTGCTTGGGCCCTGCACCCCATGGGAGACCAGGAAAAGCACCTGGATCCTGGCTCCTGCCATCGGATCAGCGCGGTGCGCCGGCTGCAGCGGCGGCCATTGGAGGGTGAATCAACGGCAACGGAAGACCTTTCTCTCTGTCTCTCTCTCACTGTCCACTCTGCCTGTCAAAAATAAAAAAAAAAAAAAAGATTTATTTTATCTATTTTAAAGGCAGAGCTACATAGAAACAGAGAGATATATCTTCCATCTGCTGGTTCACTCCCCAAATGGAAGCAACAGCCAGGGCTGGGCCAGGCCAAAGCCAGGAGCTTCATCTAGGTCTCCCACATAGGTGCAGAGGCCCAAGGACTTGGGTCATCTTCTTCTACCTTTCCAGTCACATCAACAGAGAATTGAACCAGAAGTGAAGCAGTTGGGACTCAAACCAGTGCCCATATGGGATGCCAGCATTGCAAGTGGCAGCTTAACCCGCTACACCAGAATGTCAGCCCCAGGAATATTTTTAAAAGTTCAACTGCTGTCACAGAGTATTATTAAGTTCAAATTTACTAGGTACTGCCAAACTACCCTCCAAAATGAGTACAACAATTCATACTTCCACTAAAAGTGTTTGAGATTCCCCACTTCACCATCTCCTCACCAAGGTTTGGTGCTGCCAGAATATTTTTTTAAACTAATCTTATGGATATGCAATAGTATTTCATGAGTACTTTGCATTTGCCTTAAGTATTAATGTAATGGAGGCCGGCGCCGCGGCTCACTAGGCTAATCCTCCAACTTGCGGTGCCGGCACACCGGGTTCTAGTCCTGGTCGGGGTGCCGGATTCTGTCCAGGTTGCCCCTCTTCCAGGCCAGCTCTCTGCTGTAGCCAGGGAGTGCAGTGGAGGATGGCCCAAGTGCTTGGGCCCTGCACCCCATGGGAGACCAGGAGAAGTACCTGGCTCCTGCCATCGGATCAGCGTGGTGCGCCGGCCGCAGCACGCTGGCCACAGCGGCCATTGAAGGGTGAACCAACGGAAAAGGGAGACCTTTTTCTCTGTCTCTCTCTCTCACTGTCCACTCTGCCTGTCAAAAAATTAAAAAAAAAAAAAAAAGAAAGAAAGAAAGAAAAGAGAAAAAAGAAAAAAAAAGTATTAATGTAATGGAACATCCTTTCATGTTCATTGGCCACTCAAATTTTCTCTTTGGTAAGGTACCATATCAAGTCATTTGCCCAACATTCTATTGCCTCATCTCTCTTTTTCTAACTGATCCAAGGGAATTTCTTACATATTATACATATTAATCTTTCTTAAGATCTTTCTGTCACCATGATGTATCTTCATATGGATCTGTAAAAAACTGACATTGCTGGAAATTTGTTCAGTGACTGTGGTTGACTGTAGTGACTGTAGCTGCCATCTTTTATCAGCTCCAGAAAATTTTCAGCAATTACCTGTTCAAATGATCTCATTCTTATTCTCACTCTTTCTGTTGACCTATGATTAGATACACGTTAGATTTCTCAGGCTCTCTTTCATGACTCTTAAATTCTTGTCTGTGTTGCACTCTGTATCATTTTCTTCATCTTATCTTTCAGCCTACTAGTTTCCTCTTCAGTTGTTTCTAATCTATTATTAAAATCTTATCTTTAAGCTGCTGTTTAGCTTAGCAGTTAAAACACCCACTTCCCATATCAAAGTACCTGGGTCAGATGCCAAGCTCTGGCTCCTACTCCTCATTCTAGCTTCCTGCTAATGCAGACCCTGGGAAGCAGTGACAGCTCAAGCAATTAAGTTCCTGCCACTCATGTTACCTGGATCGCATTCCTGACTCCTGGCTTTCAGGTCAGCCCCCAGCCGTGGCCATTACAGGCATGTGAGGAATAATCAGCAGATAGAAGCTCCTTATATCCATCTCTTTCTCTTTCTCTCTGACTCTGTCTCTCTCTCCCCCTCCTCGCAAATAAATAAACCAAAAAAAATTTTTAAATCTTATCTAGAGCCCTTGTTGGTCTGCTTCTGTTGCTAGCTGTTTCAGTGGATTACTGTTTAAGTTGCTTTGTGTTTGTGCACATAATTATTTTTGACTGCTCATTTCTCAGAATTTCATTTGAGTACATGAAGCCTAGGTATGCAGATAGGTTCCTCCAGAAAGGACATGCATTTGCTTTTTCGGGGAACATAGGGTAACCCCCGGTCCCAAAATCACTTCAGCTACATTTCTCAATTCTCGGTTTTTTAGAATAAGCAGGTATTTGAGTTCAGGATGCAAACTGTGGAAGAGGTACCTTGTGATTCCAAATTCTCATCAACAAATCTTTTCCTCTCTCCATTCAACGCCTTGGTTCAAGCCAGGTCATTTCAGTTTACTAGCAACAGGGGTGGGGGAAGGTATAAGTAGGAGGAGGGAAGGCATATTTCTGGTTTACTCTTAAGCTGAAGATGCAACTCTGTGAGAATGCAAAATTATGAGGAAGGGGCCTCTTATTGGACCTTTCAACCTGAGTAGTTTCAGGTTTTTGTCTTCAGTATCCTATGACAACGAGGTGGGAAAACCAATAAGCAAATAAGAGGTCAGCAAATTTTCTTAGGGTAAATTTTCTCTGCTTTCCAGCATTCACTTAGTTTTTCAGGCTGATAATCATTTTCTTTCTAACTCAGCAATGCACTTAAAAAGATTTTCTTTGGGGTAGGTGTTTGGTTTAACCCACTACTTGGGATGCCAACAACCTATATTGTAATGCCTGGTTCAGTTGTCAGCTACCAGCTTCCAATCCAGCTAATTCTTTTTTGTTGTTGTTGTTTTTAAGATTTATTTATTTATTTGAAAGGCAGAGTTACAGAGAGAAGGAGAGGCAGAGAGAGAGAGAGAGGTCTTCCATCCACTGGTTCACTCCCCAGTTGGCCTCAACAGTTGGAGATGCACTGATCTGAAGCCAGGAGCCAGGAGCTTCCTCCAGGTCTCCCACGTAGGTGCAGGGGCCCAAGGACTTGGGCCATCTTCTACTGCTTTCCCAGGCCATAGCAGAGAGCTGGATTGGAAGTGGAGCAGCCGGGACTTGATACGGTGCTCATAAGGGATGCCAGCACTGTAGGCGGTGGCTTTGCCCACTACACCACAGTGCTGGCCCCTGCCTGCTAATTCTCATTCTGGGAGGCAGCAGGTAATAGCTCAAGTACAGGTCTCTATCACCCACATGGGAGACCCAGATTGAGTTCCAGGCTCCTGGCTCCTGGCTGTTGTGGGCACTCGGAGTGAACACAGCAGATGGAAGATCTCTCTCTATCTGTCATTCTTTCTCTTTGCTGTTCAAATAAAATGAAAATAAATATCTATTTTAAAATTTTAAATTATTTTATTTAAAACAGTTTATAAAAAAGTCTTTATCTTTTAAAGATATGTTATATATTGAAATAGTTATGAATAAAATGAAATGGTTCCAAGAATTTACTTTTTTTTTCTTCGATTATATGCGCCATCTCCTGATATACCACTCCCATTACTGGTTTTTTTTTGTTTTTGTTTTTGTTTTCTGTTTTTTGTTTTTTTTAAGGATTTATTTATTTGAGGGACAACACTGTGGCATAGGGGGTTAAGCTTCCACCTGCGGCACTGGCACCCTATATGGACACCCATTTGTGGTACTGGCTATTCAACTTTTAGTCCAGCTTTCTGCTGTGTCTGGGAAAGCAGCAGAGGATGGCCAAAGTGCTTGGGCCCCTGCATCACATGGGAGACTCAGAGGAAGCTCCTGGCTCTTGGCTTCAGCCTGGCCTAGCCTTGGCTATTTCTAGCCATTTGGCAAGTAGACCAGCAGATGGAAGATCTGTCTCTCTTTCCTTCTCTATAAACTCTTTCTTTTATTTGAAAGGCAGAATCACAAAAAGAGGGGGAAAGACAGATAGAGAGCTCTTCCCTCTGCTGGTTTACTCCCCAGATGACTGCAACAGCCAGAGCTGGGCCAGGCCTAAGACAGGACCCTAGAACTGCATCCAGATCGCCCATTAAGCGGCTATTTTCTGCTGCTTTCCCAGGCACATTAGTAGGAAGCTAGATTGGAAGTGGAGCAGCCAGGACTCAAACAAGTGTCCATATAGGATGCTAACATCACAGGCAGTGGCTTAACCCACTGCACCACAATGCCGGCCCCAAGAATTTACTTTAAAATAGTAGAGAAAGAAGGTAGATGAAGTTCTGGAGGAAACAAGATTCACCACAATTTGACAACTTTTGAAGTTAGATTAAAGAAATGCAGGAGCTGCTATTTGTATAAAATTTTCCATAATAAAAATGTAAGGGAAAACAAGTAAAAAACAAAAAAATTAAAAACCCAGTATTTTTATTTGTCACCAGTGGGAGAGTTAATCCAGATTCCTAGTCCTCCATGTTTCTAAGATCATTCCTTTTGATTTCTTGCTAGAATTAAACGGTTATGTTTTTTGCCTTCCCACTATTGTCTTCTGTAATTACCAGTAACTTATTTCCATTCCTTTCTTCCTGTTAGGTCATGTTTACAACAGTTTTACAACTACTGACTGAAAAACAAATCTTTTCTTTTTAGGAGATTATAACTGTAATCCATACCTCTTACCTTCTAAATTGTAAGTTCTACCTGTGCTTTTTTATAACCTTTAAGTTAAAACCCAAGCAACTTTCTTTTATATTCATCCCACACTAGTATGTTGAAACAAAAACTCTTTGTGTAAAGAACATTTAGAAGAGGCTATCTGATATCAAAGAAAATCATATAGCTCATTCAATTTAAAAGATTCTAAAATAGCAAACAAATTTGCAAAAACATTAATTTTTTACCACTTAAAAACACAATGCTAAATTTTTATCTGGAAAAAGTAAAAAGTGAGAACAACAAACACCACAACATTAAAATCATTACCCAGTCTGTAGTAAAAGGAGCTCCATTTGCCATCAAAATACGAACTTCATCATCTTGACCTGCTCGCGCTGCTTCTAAAAGCTTCTTTCCCAAATCTACCAGGGACATCTAAATAAAACACAGATGAACTAAACATCAAAATCTCCATTTAGATATTATGACACGACTTTCCACCGCTACCTTAGCAGTCAATTCTAGAGTATCCCTTCAAAAGGCTGTGTTACAATTGATCTACAACTACAGATCACAGAAAAGCAACTTATATTTGGATTTTTGGAATAAAACAAGTTTGATTTCTTCAAATGTAGTTGATAAAAGAAATTCTCAGCAGAGAAAAGTTGGTCTAAAATCTAAAACTGGCAACTAATTGTTTTCACTGCAGGAGGTCCATCAAAATAAAAAAAAAAATCCATAAAAGTAAATATTGTCAAGCCACTATCCTCTGTTAGTTGTACAAACCAAACTAAATCTACCATAAAATACATCTACCCTATCACCCAGCTATCCCACTCCTGGGAATATATCCAAAGAATATAAAATCAGCATACCAAAGAGTTACCTATACTGCCATATGTATAGCAGCTCAATTCACAATAGCAAAGACTGGGAATCTTTGCTGATGACTGGGTAAAAAAATGTGGTATATATAGATGATGGAATATTACTCTGGCATAAAAAAATAAAATTCTGCACTTGCAACAAAATGGATAGAACTAGAAATCATTATACTAAATGAAATAAGCCAAACTCAGACAATGTCATAAATTTTCTCATGTTTGTGTAAGCTAACACAGAATATAAAAACTGTGAGGATGGCATGTCATTTGGTATATATCAATACTGCTTCACTGAAGTTTCATTGAATCATACCATGTGAATAATAATATACCATTCTTTCCATGTTATGATTGCTGTCATGAATCTCTCTTTTTGGTATTATTATGTTTTCAAGAAAGAAACCTGTGGGGAGCAGCCCGGACTGGACTGAGTTACTGGAATTAAGACTTATTCTATGCATCTGCTCTCCCACAATATGGCGCTGGGAGAGAAGTAAACAGCTTCCGCACAGCTGCCTCCAGTTCAACCAATAAACAGTAGGACTTGCTCCTGATTGGAGGAGAGCAGCGTACTCGGCGTGTGGGCAGCCGAGTTAGGATTGGCGGAGGAGGACTATAAAGGAGGAGAGAGACATCATGCACCAAGGAACATCTAAGAGGAACATCTAAGGGGAACACCTGTGCAGCCCCTGAGAAAGCCAGCCGGCGGTGTGCCGCTCCCCTGCGGAAGTGGGGAATGTGGCCAGGGGGAACTGCCCTTCCACGGAGGTGGAAGGGATAGTAGCCAACCCGGGAAGAACCAGCAGCAAACCCGGGGAGGGCCGAGCAGACGAAAGAACAGCGCAGGGTCCTGTGTTGCTCCTCCACGAAGAGGGGGAGCGACAAAACCTACAATAATTTTGTGTGTGAAATAGTAAATGTGCTCAGAATTTTAAAATCAGTGTTTTCTAGCCTTGTATATGCAGTGCACATTTAAGTTCTTCCGGAAAGGGTACAATTCACATTCCATACTGAAAAAACACTAAAAGCATCACAAATATAGTACAGGGCTCATTAAGAAGCTAGAAAAATTACATCTTATTTTGAAATCAAGATAGCTGAAAAGGCTACTGTCCCAGCCTAAAGAGTGGTGTGTCTCTTTGAATAAGATTCTTCAAAAAGTTCATGGATAACAGAATTAAAGAAAGTGTATTTCCACATTATTATTTTAAGTGCCCTCATGTGCATCAGAAAAAAAAGATTCTGACAGAAGTTCACAGGTAAAGAAAGAGCTGAATCAGCTGGCGCTGCGGCTCACTAGGCTAATCCTCCGCCTTGCAGCGACGGCACACCGGGTTCTAGTCCCGGTCGGGGCACTGGATTCTGTCCCGGTTGCCCCTCTTCCAGGCCAGCTCTCTGCTATGGCCAGGGAGTGCAGTGGAGGATTGCCCAAGTCCTTGGCCCTGCACCCCATGGGAGACCAGGAGAAACACCTGGCTCCTGCCATCGGATCAGCACGGTGCGCCGGCCGCAACGCGCTGGCCACGGCGGCCATTGGAGGGTGAACCAACGGCAAAGGAAGACCTTTCTCTCAGTCTCTCTCTCTCACTGTCCACTCTGTCAAAAAAAAAAAAAAACCTAAATGAAAGATCTCTGTGAGTGAGATCCCAGTGGAAAGAACAGGTCTTCAAAGAAGGAGGTACCTTTCTCTGAAGGGAGGAGAGAACTTCCACTTTGACTATGACCTTGTCTAAATAAGATAACAGTCGGAGAACTCAAAAGGCTTCCATAGCCTTGGAAACTCATGACTGGAGCATAGGGAGATTACTGATGCCATAAACAGGAGTGTCAATTTGTAAAGTCAACAACAGGAGTCACTGTGCACTTACTCCTCATGTAGGATCTCTGTCCTTAATGTGCTGTACATTGAGATTTAATGCTATAACGAGTACTCAAACAGTATTTTTCACTTTGTGTTTCTATGTGGGTGGAAACTGTTGAAATCTTTACTTAATGTATACTAAACTGATCTTCTGTATATATAGAAAATTGAAAATGAATCTTGGTATGAATGGAAGGGGAGAGAGAATGGGAAAGGGGAGGGTTGTGGGTGGGAGGGAAATCATCGGGGGGAGGGGGAAGCCAATGTAGTCCATAAGCTGTACTTTGGAAATCTATATTCATTCAATAAAAGTTAAAAAAAATGCAAAAAAAAAAAAAAAAAAAGGACAGAGGACACTTATGAGCAAACAGCCTTATAAGCAATCTGGATACCCAGGAATCAGTGGTTCCCAGCAGTAGCAGCACTGCCCCTCAGAGGACCCTAGGTATACTTACAGAGGCAATTTGGGGATCAAGGGTAGGGAAGCTCTAGTAGCATTTAATGGGCAAGTTCCAGGGATCCTAGCTGTCCAGCAATGCTGGAAACAATTGTGTATGGCAGAGAACTGTCACATGTTCTAGAGGACTTTCAAAAATTCCCTTAATATATCCAAGACTGAAAGCCAACAAGTAAGCAAAATGTATTTTTTTTTCAGTGTTAATGTATCCCAAAATTTCCAGAATGCAACCAAACTCTAAACCTATTGATTTTATTCAGAAATTTTTTAAATTATTATTTTGGAAAACTATGTCATCAGTGTCAATGTCACTTTGGAGTATATTTCATCAACATAACACTCATATATGAACATCCCTTGTATTTGCAAATGCCCACATCTCCTGTATATAATGGTGTAGTATCTCCATATAATCTGTACATATCCTGCTGTATACTGCAAATCATCTTCAGATCACTTATATAATACAATGTAAATGTTCTTCATTAAGATTCATTTTTAATTATTTTTATATACAGAAGATCAACTCTATACTAAGTAAAGATTTCAACAGTTTGCACATACACAGACATACAAAGTATAAAGTACTGTTTGAAGACAAACTTTACTGCTAATTTTCATAGTACAACTCATTAAGGACAGAGGTCCTACATGGGGAGCAAGTGCACAGTGACTCCTGCTGTTGATTTAACAATTGACACTCTTATTTATGATGTCAGTGATCACCCAAGGCTCTTGTCATGAGCTGCCAAGGCTTTTGAGCCCACAAACTCTGACATTATTTAGAGAGGGCCATAGTCAAAGTGGAAGTTCTCTCCTCCCTTCAGAGAAAGGTACCTCTTTCTTTGATGGCCCGTTCTTTCCTCTGGGATCTCACAGAGATCTTTCATGTAGGACATTTTTTGCCACAGTGTCTTGGCTTTCCATGTCTGAAATGCTCTCATGGGTTTTTTAGCCAGATTCAAATGCCTTAAGGACTGATTCTGACGCCAGAGTGCTGTTTAGGGCATTTGTCATTCTATAAGGCTGCTGTGTGGCCTGCTTCCCATGTTAGATTATTCTCTCATTGTGATTAGCAGACACTGGGTCTTATTTATGTTATCTCTTTGACACTTATTCCTACCTTTATTATCAGTTATGCACTTAAAATGATCACTTTTAACTAGTACGATGGCATTAGTACCCGCCAACTTAATAGGATTTGGTGTCCCATGGCAAGTTTTTAGCTTTACCGTTAGGTGTAAATGTGTGCCAAACTGTATGTACATCACCTCCCTCTCTTTATTCCCGCTCTTATTTTTTTATTATTATTACTTGACAGGTAGAGTTATAGACAGTGAGAGAGAGAGAGACAGAAAAAAAGGTATTCCTTCCGTTGGTTCACTTCCCAAATGGCCACTACAGACGGAGCTGCACCAATCCGAAGCCAGGAGCCAGGTGCTTCTTCCTGGTCTCCCATGTGGCTGCAGGTGCCCAAGCACTTGACCATCCTCCACTGCCTTCCCGGGCCACACTCTTATTTTTTACAGGGATCAATTTTCAATTGGATTTAAACACTAAGAATAATTTGTGTTAAGAGTTCAACCAATGATATTAAGTAGAAAAAGAAAATACTATAAAGAATAAAATAGTAAGCTATTCCTTGACAGTCAGGACAAGGGCTGATCAAGTCATTGCTTCTCATAGTGTCAGTTTCGCTTTTACAGGTTTCCTTTTAGGTGCTCAGTTAAATAAGCCACAGATCAGGGAGAACATATGATATCTGTCCCTTTGGGACTGGCTTATTTCATTCAGTATGATGTTTTCCAAATTACTCCATTTTGTTGCAAATGACCGGATTTCACTTTTTTTTTTAACTGCTGTTTAGCATTCCATAGAGTACATATCCCAAAATTTCTTTATCCAGTCTTCTGCTGATGGACATTTAGATTGATTCCATGTCTTGGCTATTGTAAATTGAGTTGCAATAAACATGGAAGTACAGATATCACTTTTATTTGCCAGTTTCATTGTCCTTGGGTAAATTCCAAGGAGTGGGATGGCTGGGTCATATGGTAGGGCTACATTCAGATTTCTGAGGTTTCTCCAAACCGTCTTCCACAGTGGCTTTACCAACTACATTCCCACCAACAGTGGATTAGTGTACCTTTTTCCCCACATCCTCACCAGCATTTGTTGTTTCTTGATTTCTCTATGAAAGCCATTCTAACTGGGGTGAGATGAAAACCTCATT